GCTGAAGCCTTGCAAGTGTGAAACATGTGGCAGAACATTTTCTCATCCCTGGAATTTAAAAAAACATGCTGTAGTGCATGAGGAAAAACCATTCGTATGCAATGAATGTAGTTATGCATTTTCTCATGAAGATCAACTAACTGAACACAAAAAATTACACACTGAAGATAATCCATATAAGTGTAATATCTGTTCTAGGCATTTCTTCAGGAAAGCATCTCTAATGTCACATTGCACTTGGACACATGGAGGTGCGAAATGGGAAAAATGTGAAATTTGTAAAAGGCAGTTTTCCACACTAAACAAACTAAAAATCCATAACAGAATACATACTGGTAAAAAAGTTTATCAGTGTAACCAATGTGGCAGGAAGTATTCCCATCATGCTACCCTTAGGCGACACCTCAGAACACATGCTGAAAATGAAGAACAATCTCCTGAAACTCTTAAGATAGATGAAAAGAAAGACAGTAATGTCAAGGAAAAGTCTGTCACTTCTGAAAATCCTCAGAGCTTGATTAATGATGATGAAGCAAGGGAGACCGAGAATTCTTCTGTAAATCAACCTATGCATTTACTACTTAGGTGTGGGTATTGTTCCTTTAAAACATCAACTGATCGGGCGATGCAACGACATAATTTTACAAAACATGGCTTACGGGAGATGGAAACACAATTTAATAGCGAAGTTTTTCAAGAAACAACAATAAATGATGCCACAAATTCAAGAAGAATGTCCCCATGTGAATTAGCTCAGGAGTTGCCAAGCTCGAGTCAAGGAACTTTAGATGAAGTCAAACCACTATGCCTCTCTTCTTCTTACAAATCTAGTGAAGAAATCAATCCACGATCATCTGAATTATATGGTGACTCTCCGGACCAGGAAAATAACTGTTCTGTGAATATTGGTCAAGAAGATATCTCAACTGAAGAGGAAAATAGGGTGCATCAAGAGGAGGAGGAGGAGGAGGAGGAAGAAGAAGAGGGGGAGGAGGAGGAGCAAATCTTGGGTTCTAATCATCCTGCTTCCGAAGCACAACTAGTTCAACAAGACAACAATGCATATGAACATCAACAAGTCAGTAATGACCCTCAAAATACTGTGCCTGATGTCCATGCAAGCCAGATGGTGGTGTATAATGAAGCAAGCGGAAGTGGTATACAAATAAACAATGCACGTTCATTGGTTGTTAGCCAGCAGGAATTAGAATTATTTTCTCCACATCAGGACAATACAATAACCAGTGGAGTGGAGCAGTGCAGTACATTATTTAT